TTTTAAAAAAAAAAAAAAAAAAAAAAAAAAAAAAAAAAAAAAAAAAAAAAAAAAAAAAAGAACAGAAAGACCAGTGTAGCTGGTACATACAAAACCACAGAGTAAGTGGTACAAGATCAAGTTAGAGAAGTAGGCCCGGCCAGCTCAAATGAAGCCTAATAATAAAGCGTAACTTCAGACTTTATTCCAATTGAATTGGGAATTTACTGGAGGGCTTGAAGCAGGGAAGTGATATAATCTGCTTTGTTTGGATTAATATTATCAATTCATATGATCCTATTTGTTTTTTATGTAAAAGTAAGAGAGGCAGCCTATCCTAGTGGTTAAGACCATGAGCTCTGAGCCTTGACTGCCTGGGTTCAAATGCTGCCATTGCCACTTACTGTGTTACTTCCAGCATGTTCCTTCATCTGTCCCTGCTTCAGTTTCCCCACCCCATCAGCAAAGTGAGAATATAGTACTTACTTCACAGGATTGGTACAAGGATTAAAAGAATAAAATAAATTAGTATATGATAGGACATAGTTAGCACTATATAACATTAGTTTGATAAATAGCTAGATACTTAATAGTGATTAATTCTGGGGAGTGGAATTAGGGAAATGGGATGTGGAAGAACTTTGCTATTGTCTTACATCCTCCTGTCTAACTTCAAAAAATGTATTTAGGCATGTTTTACTTTCATAATTGAAAAAATTAAGGAAAAAGGAGTATAATATCTTTGGAGTATAATTTCAGATTTGCAGTTCAAAAATAAAGTCAGCTCTATCTAATGTTTTGATGCTTGTTTGTGTTTTATATTGTTTTTTAGGGGAGCAAGACTCTAAAAATATAGTGGTATATTTTTCAGAGTTTTCTACTTAGTGTAGTACATAACTTACTCTTTTTCACACAGATGTATTTAGGGATTTGGGATAATCTACCAGGTGTTGTGAAATGTCAGATGGAACAAGCACTGAATCTTGATTTTGGAACTGAACTGGAACCAAGAAAAGAGATAGTGCTATTTGATAAGCCAACTAGGGGAACTACTGTACAGAAATTCAAAGAAATGGTTTACAGTCTCTTTAAGGTAAGTGTATCCATTCTTATTCTCACGTTGCTAGTGTGAAGCAGTACTCTTCCAGAGGAATTGACAGGACCTCATCCTAAAGCATTAAAATATTGATATTCCTTGACCTCTATCCAGGGACTCCATACTGAGGAAATAATCCAGAAGGCGGGGAAAAAAAGACATGTTGGAGAATATTTACTTTATCATTATTTATAATAACTAAGAATGTCTAGATATAAGGGAGAAGTTCATTAACTAGTTGAACTGCTGTACAGTTTGACATTAAAACTGGTACCAAAAAAAGGTGAAAAAAATTAGTATACTCTGATTGCAAATTATTTTTTAAGAATTTAAAGAAATACTCATATAAAGATTAAATAGAAATTACAAAACAAATAGTTTTGGAAAGAATTTATGTTTTCTCATTTTCATTGCTCCTTTCACTCCAAATCTTTTCTTTGGCCATTTTACTAGGGGTCTTCAAAAAGTTCATGGAAAGATTCGTTTTATCTTTTTTTTTTTTTTTTTGGTGGCTGGCTGGTAAGGGGATCTGAACCCTTGACCTTGGTATTATAAGACTGTACGCTAACCAACTGAACCGACGAGCCAGCCCTAAAATAGATTTTTTTTTTTTTGGGCAGCTGGCCAGTACGGGAAACCAAACCTATGACCCTGGGGTTATGAGGCTGCACTCTAACCAACTGAGCTAACCAGCCAGCCCTATACTATCTTTTAGTTCTGTTTTCTTACGAATTTTTTATTTTTTATTTTATTTTTTTATTTTTTTATTTTTTTAAAAGATGACCGGTAAGGGGATCTTAACCCTTGACTTGGTGTTGTCAGCACCACGCTCACCCAGTGAGCAAACCGGCCATCCCTATATGGGATCCGAACCCATGGCCTTGGTATTATGAGCACCGCACTCTCCCAAGTGAGCCACAGGCCGGGCCTTCTTACGAATTTTTTGAAGTACCATCATACACGCATTTCAGATTATTTTATCCCAGAGAAACTTCACAGGAAAATACTTTTTTAACCTCCATTATTGGAACAATACAATTTAAACAAAATAATTCTGTTAATGTGATAAATACAAATAGGAGAAAATAATTTTCAGTTGGCCCTTATTGTAACTTTGACGTCAGTACGTTACAATGCAGTTTTGCAATTAAATATGAATAAGACAAGGAATAATGAGTGTCTTGGTTAACTATCTAAAGTGTCTGAGAGGGCTAGGGGAGTTTGGGTGGCCATTTCTGAATGAGCAAATATAGTGGGTTTCACTGCGATTACATAAAATATGGTTCTAATTCACTTAGGAAACATCATAAATATGTAGAGATGTAACGTAAGTTCCTTTATGGGGATTTAGTATAAAGATTATTACAAGCATGCTAATAATGCCCATAAAGGAACTTTGTGTGTTACATGGGAGAGATTTTTCATTCCTTCTGTATAATTAGCCAAATTCTTACCTTGACAGGCGAAGTTGGGTGACCAAGGAAACCTCTCTGAACTGGTTAATCTCATCTTGACAGTAGCTGATGGAGACAAAGACGGCCAGGTTTCCTTGGGAGAAGCAAAGTCAGCATGGGCGCTTCTTCAATTAAATGAATTTCTTCTCATGGTGATACTTCAAGATAAAGAGCATACCCCCAAATTAATGGGATTCTGTGGTGATCTCTATGTGATGGAAAGTGTTGAATATACCTCTCTTTATGGAATAAGCCTTCCGTGGGTTATTGAACTTTTTATTCCGTCTGGGTTCAGAAGAAGCATGGATCAGTTGTTCACACCATCATGGCCTAGAAAAGCTAAAATAGCCATAGGACTTCTAGAATTTGTGGAAGATGTTTTCCATGGCCCCTATGGAAACTTCCTCATGTGTGATACTAGTGCCAAAAACCTAGGATATAATGATAAATATGATTTGAAAATGGTGGATATGAGAAAAATTGTGCCAGAGACAAACCTGAAAGAACTTATTAAGGATCGTCACTGCGAGTCTGATTTGGACTGCGTCTATGGCACGGATTGTAGAACTAGCTGTGATCAGAGTACAATGAAGTGTACTTCAGTAGTGATACAACCAAACTTGGCTAAAGCCTGTCAGTTACTCAAAGACTACCTACTGCGTGGTGCTCCAGGTGAAATTCGTGAAGAATTAGAAAAGCAGCTTTATTCTTGTATTGCTCTCAAAGTCACAGCAAATCAAATGGAAATGGAACATTCTTTGATACTAAATAATCTAAAAACATTATTGTGGAAGAAAATTTCCTACACAAATGACTCTTAGTTCATTTAGACATTGTCACCAATGTAGGAAACTTAACAACTTCTGAACAACTTGAGCATTTTAAAAAATGGCTTCTGATTCAGAGTTCCCTGCCAGATACACAAAGCCCCTTACCCCTGGGCCTAAGAATCCATCATCTGAAGTAAAACACATGATTACTGAAGTAAAAACTGGAGGTTTAGGATGAACAGGTCCAAGATTTCATTCCTGTCCTTTCAGAAGCCCTGTTGCATTTCCCAAGTACGTTCACTGTGTAACTGTTTTTGACTAATGACTTAAAAAAAAATAATGCTGTGTAAAACCTCATTCCATAAACATCAACAGTGAGTTTTGTAGATTTGTTAGCCAAAATACCATTGCAGGAAACATTTGTGTTTGCATTGAAGCTGCTGTTTCAAAATGATTTATACACAAATTTACTAATGTCTTAGCATGGTAAAGTTTGCACATTAACAGAAATTAAGACTACAAAGCAGGTAAATTAAAACTACTCCTTTATAAACAGATGTTGGGTTAATAGCATGGTTTATTGTATTATAGACTTCTTATGCACACATTTTTAACCTCATTCAGACCTCACATTATCAGAATGTTTCCTAGAGTGGCTTCACGAAGTGTTCTACTTTGACAATATGCAATTGCCAGTTTTAGTGGCTGAAAATGGATGAACTTTCAGAACCCTAAAGATGTGAAGGGTCCATCTTAGTATCAACCAGCCAACTAATCCAGATCCTTGTATTCTGAATGTGAGATATGGAGAAAGTGGGACTACAAGAGCAGGACTGAAATAAGTCGTAGAAAACAGTTCAGTAATAATTTTCCATTTCCAAACAGTATTTCCTGTGGGTCAAAGGGCTGTTTCTTCAAGAGGCATGTAAATTTAGTAACACTTTTTCCTATGTAAAATCAATATACAAGGTTTAATATTTGCTCCTTTCATGTTATTTGTCTATGTATATTAAGATCTGGCATGTACCTTTCAACATCTCCATAAGATGAAACACCTCCTTTTGGAGAAAAGCCCCAGTATTTTCTGCCCCAAGGTTTCACCTGGTTAAAGTGAAATGTGTTAAATCTATGTGACCTTCACTAGACAGCTTTCTCTCAAAAATTATTTAAGCCATGGATTAGCACCAGTTGTTTTAAAACTGTATACTTTGAAGGTACTTTTTCTTCCCATCAGTCATCTGGTTATAATAAATGGATAGAAGAAATATTTCCTAGTGATGGTTGGTCTGCTGCTTGCCAGATTTTTAGGGAGCTGCACATCATACAATGTGAGGGATATCAACAGTCAGGTTGAATAGAAGCCTAAGAAGGTGTAAACTTTGTTGGAGTCGACATGCAAGACAACTTTTTCTGCAAAAAGCTACACTTGTTCCTTGGAGGAAAAAAACTGTCAATTCCTTTGCTTTTACACTTCAGGGTATTTCCAATAGTTTCATAACAAGAGCTTAACCCAGATATAATTGCTTATTCAATAAGTTTATTGTTTTTATTTGAAAAACTCTCATAGAAAATTGTTTTAGTTCTCAGCAGCCCGCTCCTGAGCTCTGAGGAAGCTTGCCTTCTTTTGAGCTACCCGATCTTTCTTCTGGGCAAGGGACATTTTGGGACGGTTCCATCTACAAAACAAAGTAAAAGTAAGACAGGAATATATTTTTTATAAGCTAAAGAAGACAGTATTAAATTTCAATAGACAAAGACTTTATAATCAGATGAAAGGTGAATAATCCAAGTTCTAACACACGTACTTATTTACGATCTTAAGCTAAGCTAACTTTCCCAAACCCCAACTTCTGTGCTGTCCTATTTTCACAGGGCCAAAAATCAAATAAAAAACATAATGTTAGATCCTGTAATACCACTTTTGGGAATTTACCCAAAAGATATGAAATCAGTTTGTTGAAGAAGATGCCTTCCTATTCACAACAGCCAAATTATGGAATGAACCTAAGTGTCCATCAACAGATGAACGTGGGTAGAGTGTAGGTTATAACACCAGCATATGGATCTCTGTACCTGCTAGTTGCCCCCACGCCCTACCAAAAAAACCACAGATGAATGGATAAAGGAAATGTATGTGGAATCTAAAACAATCAAACTCATATAAGGAGAGAACAGAATGGTTCTAGAGACTGGGGAAAAGGGAGTGGGAGGAATGGGGAGATGGTGGTCAAGGTTACAAAATCTCAGGAGGAATATTTTTTGTGTGTTCTATTGCACGGCATGGTGAATACAGTTAATAGAGTATTGTTTAACATTTAAAAGTTGTGAAGACAATGAAGTTCAAATGTTCTCACCACAAAAATGTTAAGTATTTGAGGTGATGTTAACTAGCTTGACTTAATTACTTCACATTGCATTTTGAATATTCATAAATTATGTCATATCACTTTGTACCCCATAAATTTATACAATTATAAATTGTCAATTTACAGTAAAAAGTAAATATTTAAAAACCCTTATGATATTTAGTTCAAAGCTTATTCCACTCAAAGATCAAAATATGAAAGATCACAAAAAGCAACTCTTTCTTTAGACAGCCAATAGAAATGCAATTAACTGGTATTTATTTACACTGTAGTAGGATAGAATGGGCCACCTCAGTAGCTTCTGAGGCTAATACATCTCTATCACCACAGTTACTTTAGCAAACCTGGTTCCCTTCGCTTCTGCCACATCACACAGAGCTAGTGATCGAGTTTGCACAACTTCACTGAGTGTCTGACCCACTAGATGAAATGAGTGGCTGGGAAACACTCCCAACCTATTTCTCTTGAAAAGATAATAGTAAGGTACTCTCACCTCTTCTTTTTAACTTCTCTTTTGGGCTTCTTCTCATAGACTGGATTCTCTCGTATAGCAGCATGAGCTTTCTTATACATCTCCTCCATCTGAAACAAAGGAAAGCAAACAGTACTTGGTTTCATTTCATATGCCCTACTATATTAATGTACTGTATTCCACTACTAGCTCTATTTTGTCCTTCTAAGCCAGATTCTCAAAAGGAACTTAAATTTAAGTCAAAGTTGGTATCTGATTACATTTCTCAATGTAACCCACTTTTCCCTAACAAATTCCCAATTTTTACCTTATGCAATGAAATTGGCACTGTTCACAAAACTCAACTCTGCCTCAAGAAAAATGTGTGTATTTCTGAGGAATTCAGCCCTATTTTGAGTCACTCTAAAGCAAATTTATTCCTGCAGAAACATACATTGTGCTCCTTATTTGAAACACTGTCTGGCCTAAACTCTTCAATTAAAGTGAGGATATGTGCCAAAAATATTTAAAATGTTAAGATGAAGAGTACGTGGGACCAAAACAGTCACAACACTGACACAGCTTAATTGACTAAGAACTGGACTCTGGGGCCAACAAACAACTGCCAGATTCATTTGTTATCCCACATTCCCCAAATTTACACTTTCCATCTTTACATGATAGGTCTTTTAAAACAATTTGCAGTATTATGTACCAGGGACCTCTTCTATCTTACACTGTTACCAGACACTAATATCTAGGAGTAACAAAAGACCTCTAAGAACCAGAAAGGTCTGAATTTTTCTTGAAAAGCTATCCAACTAGATATCTTATTGGGCGATTTTGTTCTAAAACTCACCAAAAAAAAGTTACAATTCTCTGAATATCTAATAGCAATGATAGATTATGTCAAGATAATCCAGGTCTCCAAAATTACTAATTTAATGTGGAGAAAGAGTGATTATTACATGCATTTGTATAAAGCTTAGCAGAGGAAAGTAATGCAAAAATGTTCACTGCATTTGAGACTTCAACTACCTAAATTCCTTTTACAAGCTAATTTCCTGACTCTTAGCACTCTATTACAGCTGTCCATTGTATTTTACAAATCTACTCAGTGACTTCAGATATAGTAATTTAACAAACCTAAGCAACCCAGTGCTTTCCTTCCAAGAGATCAGACAAGTAGGAAATACAACCATGTTACGTGGATAATGCCATGAATTTAGGTAAAGACCACTTCCTGTTGGGGACACATCGAATGTCTGCAGAGGACTTCAGCAGTCACACAGGAGGAAACAGGCCACTGTAGATAAATTTTGAGCAAGTATGACATGACTAGATCAAGATGTGGCTTAGGAAGGAAAATTCTGCCGGCCAAGTAGAATCATAGTGTAAAAGTAAAAAACTTCTTTACCAGGGTGAAGTCAGTAGTAATATAAAGGAATATACTGTAAAAATTAACATGATCTACACAACTGACATAAAACTATCCTTATTCTTTCCTAACACAAAAACTCAGTTACATGTTTATTCAGCCTTAGACTGTGTCCAAAGCATACAAATAACAGAAAGTGATCTTTCCCCAATTAGGACTTTATTTTTAAAATTTTCATAGCCAAAGTTGTGCCAAAATAGAAACTACTATGCACTAACAGAAAAGAACATAATCAAACATTATGTGACACATAACCTATTTATTTAATTTTAGTTATTACATACTATGACATATACTTACTGTGATTTGTGTTCTACATTTTAATTATAATTTCAAAACTGGAACTATCATCTTCAATTACTTCAGTATCTTAACAGAGGTAGCCCTGGAGATGCAACTTTAGGGCTGATAAATTTCCAACATTAAACTAACTTTTGCAAGTATTGTTCCCTTCATTTCTGCAACATCAGGCAGAGCTAGCAATCAAATCCACACATCTCTTTCTGTGTGTATGCCTGAGATATTTCCAAAGTCCAGAACAAAGGACATATTTGCTATAAGAAACTTTCCTCCCCCATAGCCTCAAAATTAGTGAAGTATATAATATCTAGCACCTCATATCAAACTACATTACAACTATGACCACAGAAATGACATCTATATAGAACAGCCAAAGCATAAAAGGCACCAAAGGCTTTAGATGCTCGAAGTCTACCACACTTCAGCATGTAAAAGATTCCTAAAAGCATGTAGACAATTCTAGATTATTTATACTAACTTCCCTGACTTGTTAATTTACTCTCAACTAACATCCTAATGCCGTTTTAATCTAAGGACAGCTTATGTGAGTCTACTGATACCTACAAATATGCCCATATTCAACTTTCAACTGTAAACCTGAAATAAACCTATATGAGTGTAACCCATCAAAAATAAGTAGTTAATTCATTTCTATAAATTAACCAATACAGGTATTTTCAGGTAAATTTTTTACCATGTCTGGAGTCACGTTGTTCTTTATGTATTGAGAGAATTGTTTCTTATAAGCATCTTCATCTTCTTCCATTAAGTAACGCATATAATCTGCAACATTCTGACCCATGATGTGTTTCCGATGTACTTCTGCATTAAATTCCTTGCTCTCAGAATCATAACCAGGGAATCGTTTGGTACTAAAATAAAGTTTTTCATATTTTAGTATAGATTGACAGAAATTAGTTATTGGAAAATTCAAAATTTCCTACAGAAACTAGTAGGAATTCACTTCAGTAGCTGCCATCAGTCCCGTCTTGAAACAATTATTGCATCATATGTTCAGTTAGTGGGATATCATCACTCAGCAGCTCATCTCTGAATGCCAGGATAGGAAAAGTCATACCACAAACACCTTTAAAAACTGTGATCAAGGGCCGGCCCGGTGGCGCACTGCTACAGTGCACCGCTTGGGAGCACGGTGGCGCTCCCGCCGAGGGTTCGGATCCCACATACAGACCGGTTCCTGCTCACTGGCTGAGCGAGGTGCGGGCGCGACCCCGAGGGTTGCGATCCCGTTGCCGGTCCGGTACGGGCGCGACACTGAGGGTTGCGATCCGTTGCCGGACACACACACACACACAAAAAAAACTGTGATCAAGGCTTTCTACCACTACAAAATTAGTTACCCTGCATATTAGCCTAAGAAGAGGTTTTGAACCTTTCCCCCAAATCCTGTAATTTCTCAGTGATCCCTCGGGTACATGGGAATAAGTGATTTGTCCCAGACCACAGTTAATGAAATCATCAAGAGAGAATGTTCTTGGGCCGACCCCATGGCTCACTCGGGAGAGTGCGGCGCTGGGAGCGCAGCGGTGCTCCTGCCGCAGTGCTCCCGCCGCGGTTTCGGATCCTATATAGGGATGGGCGCTCACTGGCTGAGTGCGGTCACAAAAAAGGACCAAAAAAAAAAAAAAAGAGAGAATGTTCTTGGTACACTTGCACCTCACTAACTTTTCTTTAACAGCGAGGAATTTATA